TAAATTAAGGAAATTTATTCTATTCAATAAGTTTTAATTGATCGCAAGTCTATATGTTTTCAGATTGATGTGATGCTGTTAAAAAAAGAAATTCTTTGCATTGCATGCAAAATTAATAATTATTCTATGATTTTATTCGAAAAATTTTCATTTCTGGATCCATGTCGAAAATTGAAAAAATGAATTTCTATTATTTCAATGATATTTTCTATTTAAAATTTCATTATAGTATTGTATTTTGTTGAGTGCTATTCTTGTATTCTGCAAACAGTATGAACTCTCTCAATAGTTGACACACGTACGGAAGTAAAGTGTAAAATAGAATAAAGCTCATGAGAATTCTTTCAAGAGAAAAAAATATGTATTTAGTATTTTTCTTTTCATAGAATATACCCGTTTCTTAGCAATGGTAAACATACCAACAAAATATTTTATCGTTTGTTTCACTTGTTCGTTGCCTAGAGAGATTTTTGTCAATGTTTTTTTGTATATAATGTGACAACATATTGAACGGAAGAAGTTGGTATAATTTATTAGTAACAAAAGAAAAAATAAATCAAAAAATGTTCTTCACTCTAACATCAACATTTCTTTCTCGACTATTTCTAATTAAATAACATATAACTAACACATTTTTTCATGAGAAAAGATCAAAAACTTCTAACAAAATCTATTAATAAAGTGAAGATCGAACAGATGCGTAGTTCTTTCATAAGTGCAAATGCAGTGTCACTGACTGAGCACACAAACGCGAAAACATGTCAACAAACTTACATTTGTCTTATTCAAAAGCGTTCTTTTCATTCGGCTGAACGGTAGTATTGACTAACTGAGTAACTACCATAGACACAATGCAATTATAGAATTATAACACGTTATCAATATTTTAATGAATACACAATTTCTTAAATAAATTTTATTAACTCAAAATTTCAAAGATCTATATAGTAAAAATTATATTTTCTATTGTAGTAAATAGTTTGATGACAACGATAAACTGGGGCTTGATGTCATTCTATTATTTTCTTTTGATCAATATTAATTAGAGGACATTCTGCCAACGATTACTCGAAACAATTCCAATTAACGATACAAAAAAAATGATAATCTTCATGCACGTCATTTTTTGCATCGATGCAATCGAACGAATGATTAATCATAATTATCTATGGATAGTGGAACTAGTGCTCATTACTGGAAGTAACTCATAGTTCTACGCTCTTACGGATCCAATACGAGAAGTGGTTGATGGACTGATAGGATGGCATCAGCTAAGAAAATGACTAAACAAATTTGATTAGTGTGACAGAGTCAAACAATTCAATGGAGTAATGGTTAATCAAACATAATATAATAATGAAAAAATCCAATTCTAGTTTCTCCTTGGAAGCATGTAGAATTATTCAAATCTGACAAAAAAAATGTACTTGAAATTTATCACAAAATTCTTTCTGCAGATCATCTTGATATCGCTCCTTCACACGCTTGTGTTCGTTTAGTATAAGAAACAATGAATGAGTATCTCAAAGTACTTTTATTTCAAACAAAAATGTAAGTAAAGTCTTACAAAAAATTCTTCCCCTAAATCAGACTTAATTGGCTATCTTCTTTATAATAACATTAGGTCGATATATGGTAGCATGAGCGAATACTAATGAGAATTTTTATTATATGATACAAAAAGCACGTCAAATCTGTTAAACAACTTTTTCTAAGAATCATCGTCAAATGACTATTTTGCACTGCAACATAACTTGCGCACATTATAATTTTAATAAATACTCAAAAGGACTTGTGTCTTAGAAAAAAAGCATCATATTCACTCAAACATGTCATTCATCAAATCATCTTAATATAGTTACTCGTTTCAACAAAACCATGTTGGTGCATGTCAAGGTAGACAATTTCTTAAAAGCAATGAATATTTATCGAAAAATTCCGTCACTATACTACTTAAAGTTAGAAGTTTATTCATATTTGTTGGTCAAGTGTATAAAAAAATTTGAAAGAGTGTTATTTTTTAAACAGAGTATTACCATTCGACAATATTCATTATAATTTAATAATCCTCTTCTTTTATTTGTATAGAAAAAAACTCAATGATGTAAATTTACATTGGTTACTGAAAACTAAAAATTTCCCAAAAAAAATTTCAAAGAACATTTGTTGAGAAAACCTTCATGTATACCTAAACTATATTTCGTTTCGAGACAAAAATAGATAAAATCTATCAATGAAGATATAAAATATATGTTTTGCTTTGATAACTATATTTTTCTATATCAAGTTACAATCATTCGAGGAAATCGTCCAAACAGGTACATTGAAACAACAAGCAAGTGTTATATAGAAAGATTAATGCGTCAAAACTCAAAAAAAAAAAAGTTAATTTTGCCTTAAGAAGGACATATTTTCAAGGAAGAAAAGTAATTAAATTGAAGAATTCGTAACAAATTAGGTTTAATATTACTGAATGATGAACATCAATGTATAAATTATTTCTTCATAACAGTAATTTGTTTCGGATGAGTATTTTATTAATTATTCATTTTAATAAACACGTTTTACTCATAGGAAATAAAAGGAATATCATGAATAAACAATATGGAATGACTTTCGTAAAAAAAAATACTTATGGAAGATGTTTTACCATAATAAAAAATAATAACTTATGTTGAGAATCATTTTCATAAGAGAATAAAAGCAATAATCGTATTGAAATTCAAATATCAAGCTAAAAAAAAACAGTGATCTTCTTTTTAGTGTTTCCTACTTAAAAATATTCTACAAAAGACTTTTGAAGACAATATGAATCTAATATTAGCATTTAAAATAAGAATATGCAAATAATTTACACATTTTGCTTCTTTTCTTTTTACAATAAATAGAACAATTTAGTTTATCATATATTAGAATGTTAATTAAAATTTTTTATTCATATACATTTCTTATAACACATCGTAGCTCAATACACATTCTTTTATATATATATTATATGTGTGTTTATTTAATTAATTAAATATAATTTTTAATTGAACTATTAATTAATAATAAAATTCATTTAACTATTGGTCATTAAAGTAAATATTTCGACTTCTTTACAGGCAAAATATTTTTTAGCAAATATTAAACCACCTTGATTAGTTGAATCAATATAACTTTTGGGAAAAAATATACAATTAGTTTTTTCATTAAATTTATTTCTTAAACATAAATCACTGCCTTCATTTTTTGGTGAACCAAAATTAGGACCACATGTTGGATTATGACTTATTGCACATTGTTGATATTCTTTAGCAACAGGAAATTTTGTTGGTGGAATATTCAATGTATTTTTTAATGTAAATAGAAATGCTTTTGGATCAGCTTGATCAGATCGTAAGTTAGCTGAACTCCAAGGTATTGATGTAAAACCACCAAAAATATTTCCAAAATCAGTTTGAATAATTGATACTGTTGGTGCAAATGAATCACAACAACGATGAAAATCAGCTGCATCAAAACCATGTTCACTGGCTCGATAAATTAAACGCCATGGTTGTTGTTGTTGAGTGTCATTACCAATGAATTCAATTAGTTTTTCCTCATATTCAGTAGTTAATAAAGTACTTCCAAGAAAAATATTTAAACGATTTTCTATAAATACATTTGATCTCCATGATGATGCTGTTTGAGCTGGATGAAGTTTTGATTTTGTTGGTATAGGTTGAGTTAGAGGTGATACACGTGTTATATTATTAGATAATACTGTAGGTGAAAAAGGTGATGAACGAGATCTGTTTAGGATTCCTAATGGACTACATGGTGGTGATTGATTAACAGCATCGAATGAATTAACAGGCATAAATAATTCATCTTTTTTTAACATTGCATTTAATTCGTCTTCTAAACTTTTTAATTTATAATATTTAGCTTCTGTTAATAATTCTTTGTGTATTTTTTTATCTTCAATATTTAATTCTCCTGTTCGAAGATATTGAAGAATAATATCAAATAAACGTCCATCACGATCAATAAATATTGGATTATCAATAGAATGTGTATTTATATTCCATTGTTCATTAATAAGTGTTTGAAAAAATGTTGAATTTGTTTGTTGTGCTAATGTTTTAATTGTTGTTGTAAAACGTTGACCACCAACATCAAGATAAACACGATTATCAGCATTTATTACACATTGTTTTTCAATATCATTTCGATCTTTTCGATATTGTTCTAATTCTTTTTCAAGTTTTTCTTGTTTTATTTGCATTAAACGAATTGTTGAAGAAAGTTTATTAAAATCTTCTGTATAATTAATAAATTGTGTAAACTGTTGAGACATTAAAATTAAATTTTGTTTTATAGCAGGAACTAATGTTTGAAGATTTTGTAAAATTTCTAATTCATTATCATTATCATTATTATTATTATTATTATTATTATCATTAATGTTAATTTTATTATTAGTTATAATGGCAGTAGTAACACCATTAGTTTGTGACATTATTATTTTTTTTATGATGATAAGTGAAGAGAAGAAGAAAAAGAATACAAAAATAATAACAAATCTATTCTGCCGTATTTATATATACCCAATATGATTTTTTTGTGAGAAGCTTCTTTTTATCAGAAAAAAGTTTTTTTTTTCTCGATTCTACAATACTGTTTTTTTTTTTTATTTTTTATTTTTGTAATTCTTCGACTTGTCTCGGAAAAATCATCAATGACGATGGCGTATATTTTATTTTACAGCAACATATGTGTCGTAAGTTTTTATTATTTTTTTTTCTGTTCTATATTTTTATCGTAATAAAAACACTATCGGATATTATGTTAAAAGAAAAAAATAAAAAATAAAAAGGAAAGACAAGTCGATTTTTTTTTTCTTGTTCTTATACTGCGACGAAAAAAAAGAGAGGGTAACATGTTGTTTTAGACCTTTTTTTATGTATTCAAAATTGGAGTAAGCTTTATAAATGCAAAAAAAAAATATACGAAAAAAAAAAAGAAAGCATAGATCAAACAAGTGTTTCTAGATGCTGTTGATTGCTAACATAACTATTATTATCATTCGATGAAAGTGAACCTAAACATGAATCAGTTGTACTTCGATCTGATAAATTATCATCATCAGCATCATCAAATTTATATAAACTATTTCGTCGTTGTTTAATTGATGTTAAACGATTAATATCACGATCAACACTTGAAGTTCGTGGAAGAAAAGAATAATTTGATGAATTTTTTTTTAAAATACTTTTCATTTGTGTTGTCGATGATGGTAATTGATTTGTATTATTTCCTGTTGAGGTACGAAAACGAACACGTGATAATGAACGACTTGTATTTGTGGCATTATGATTAATAGCTTTATGATATTCATCTTGTCGTGATTGTCGTCTACATATCGGAATAATATCTGATGAAATTCTAAAAATATTTGTCGATAAAAAAAAATGCTTTTTTATTATTTTCAAAAAAACATACTTGCTATCATCACTATCACTATTATGATTACTTTGAGTAATCCAATCGAAATAATTCGTATAATTTGATGATGTTTTATATTGATTACGATGATCATTTGATAAATTAATTTTTTTCAATTGCGTTATTATTTCATGTTGTTGTCGTATTAATGATTCTTGAATTTTTAATTGTTCATAAGCATTTGTTAATGATGTTTGTTGATATGATGTTCGATGAAGTTTTTTACGTTGTGCCAAACGTGATGGTGATGCATTACGTTTAAATGATAATTTAAAATGTATATGTGTTGATGCATAACGTAATAGAATATCTTGAATAAAATCAGTTGATTTTAATGGAAATAAATATGGTAGACGTTCAATATATAAACAACAATCATTTACAGATAAATATTGTTTTTCAGATAAATCATCAAGTAATGCATCAATAACATGAGCAACTGTTGTTAAACGATTAAAATTTGTTATACATTTATTAATACCACGATATGAAACTTGAATACATTCATATGGACGATGTTGACAGACTATTAAATAATGAATTTTCAAGATTATTATAAATAAAAACTAATGTTTATCGTTCAGATATATTTACCTTGCATGATTTGTGTATATCACAATATCAATAGATTATAATATCGATTCATTCTATTTATATATATATATAAATATCGATTTTTGTTGTTGAGCATTTTTCTCTCTCTTCCTTTCTCGCTCTTTGTCTATTGTTTTATAAGCCAATCTATTTGTCGTCTTACGTTCTCTTTCTAATTGATTACCGAATCAAATATGGGTGCAAATGTATGCAGCTCGGTATGTCTCCATCGTCTTCTCTCGAGGGTCAATTAAGATAGATATACATATGACCAGCAGCAAGAAAAATTCCACTTCTATCTCACACGTTAACAAGTTTATTCGATTAGTGTTTATTGTCTATAAATGATTGGAGATAATCCGATGAATATACACGAGCTGTTTTAGTTCTAAATGGATTATTGACAATTTTCATTCGAAATATGTTTGTTTATTTAATAGAAATAAAGATCTTTAGGTTTTGTGATTTTTTTTTTCTTGTTTGATGGTGGTAGAAAGAATTTTAGAATGTGACATTCAGTAATGAAGTATAGAGATAATGAATAGATTTACACCTTTGAATGGCGGTTAAAAAATAAAAGAGTAGAACAAATGAATTTTCTTTTTGTATAAAGAAAATGAAATGAACATCAGAGATATTTGAAGTTGAGTGAAGATTTATTGATTTAATCTTTAGTGAATGAAAAATATTTTAAATAGAAAAAAACGTCTTTCTAATCAATATGTTATTACTGGAAAAAAAGAAACTTTAATTTAATTATTTGTCTTTCTGTTATTAAAATATTCTTTCGTGGAGTTATCAATTATAGGATGTAAATTCTTAACAATCAGCTGCATCAATACTTCTGCAATTGTTGTATTGAATTGAAAAATGCAATTTAATGATAATATTAGGAAAATCGATTTGATAGTTTTGAAATTATTTTGTAATTATATTATTTAAATTATAGATCAAACTCATTAAAACAAAGTCTAAACAAAAAATAAAGTTATTATTGTTAGTTTTTTTTCATGAGTCAGTAATATTTCATTATTTATTTTTTTTTGTTCTTGTGTTTTTGTTTAACTTTTTGTTTTTTATCTATAAGACAAATAGAATGTGTTTGATACAAACATTAGACTTCTTAACTAAAAAACCTTTAGATTTTGGTGATGTTTTGTTTTTTAAAAACGATTTGCTTTTGGATGTTGACTGACTTATTGAAGGAGTTTTAGTTGGGGTTGCTTTCGTTTTATTTGCTGCTTTCGATGGCGATTTCGCCAGTGAGTTGTTTGGATTTTTTATAGCAGATGCACTTTTAAGTTTCATTGGTGATGCTGGTGGTTTGCCATTTGCCCAAATGTTTGTTCGAAAATCATAATAAGCCTAAATAAAATTTGTACGTGTACATTTAGAAAAAGACTTTATCGTTACTTCAACTATGGTGTCAGTAGCATCACCTTTATCAGAAGTATTACGTTTCATTATTTCAAGATAAGGATCTAATAAAAGAAACTTATTTCATATCAATATAGTATGATTCTACGCATTATACCATTGAATGATAATGCATGAAGTTTACTAAGTTCAGGTGTTTGGGAAACTTTAATCCATGTTGGAGTTTCATGTTTCCATTTTAAAATATCCTTGAGAATATAATTATAAAAAGATTTGGCTATTTTTCAATTGAAACAAAATTACTCACAGTAGAAATTTTAATTTTTTTATTACCATTTTCATCACGACCTTCAATTAGACCTGATACACAAAACAAAGCATTACTAGTTGCAAAGATTAGACTGCGACAACGTGATGATGGCAAATCAGTTGATTTTTCAAATCTAAATATACAGTAGTGGCCAAAATTATAAGGGCAGACTGCTTTTCAATGTTTTTATTTTTGTTTCATATATTTTTTTTCTGCTTGCAATGATTTGTGTGTTTAAATATACGCATTCAAGTACGGTCTCTCTGATGGTGCAGTCAGATTTGCTCGATTCGAATTTTAAGTTTGAAAAAATGCAAATTTATTAAAAATTGTGTCTCTGAAAAACATCAGGAAAAGACACTGGTCTAGCTCAGATTTTTGGCTACTAAAACAAAAATACAGATGAATGCATTTTTCTCAATCCTGTATCAGATAGAGGAGATTTTTGGCTACAAAACAAAACATCTCCGAGTTCTAATGAACTTTTTTGTTAGAAAGCTAACAACGTTTTTACATTTAAAACACGAAAAATAGACATTTTCAAGCCAAATTTGACAGAAAAAATGCTTTTATCTTTAAAACGTTGTTAGCTTTCCAACAAAAAGTTCATCACAACTCGAAGATGTTTTATTTTGTAGCAAAACATCTTCTCTGTTTGATACAAGATTGAGAAAAACGCATTCATCTGTATTTTTGTTTTAGTAGCCAAAAAAACTGAGCTAGACCAGTGTCTTTTCCTGATGTTTTTCAGAGACACGATTTTTAATAAATTTGCATTTTCTCAAACTTAAAATTCGAATCGAGCAAATCTGACTGCACCATCAGAGAGACCGTACTTGAATGCGTATATTTAAACATACAAATCATTGCAAGCAGAAAAAAAATATATGAAACAAAAATAAAAACACTGAAAAACAGTCTGCCCTTATAATTTTGGCCACTATTGTATATATATATTAGACCACAAACAAAAATTTTTTTAATAAAAAATATCAAATCATACTTTCCTGTCAACAAATTATAAATAGTAAAAGTATTGACGAAATAAGTTTGATTTTGAAAAATATCATAACCACCTCTAAAGATTATTTCATCAAAATGAAACAACAAAAAACTTTTTGAATATGTCATAACTAACACGAGATAAATTCGTTGTCCTTCAACTGCCATTCCACTAAAGATTAGAAAGATTAGATTGTAATTAAGAAATATTTGATCGAACCATGCAGCAATAGGATTCATTAATCTAGCAACATATTCCCATCTTAATGTTCGTAAATTTAAACGTTGAATATCATCCAGTAATCTAATACGAAAAAAAAAGAACAAACCGGTAAATCTTAGTAGATATCTAACTATCTTATAGCGTAAAAGTCTTTGTACAAAATATCTACTAATTTTTCTGTTACTCAAAAACAAATTTTTTTCCTCTTTCCACATATATGTTCAGAATTTCCTTTTAAGGTGAAATTTGACAACTGCCATCAGACTGTTCCAAAAGATCAAACTTAGCTGTTCTGCAAAAAATTATTTTGGTCAATTTTGTTATTTTAATTGAAACATATCAAATTCAAAATGTGAAATAGTGTTCAATGATTCAAGAGAGAAAGTTCCCTAGTGTTCGTTTGTTTTTTGATTGAGATTATATGCAAGTGCAAGGCTATGGTAAATGGTGTAAAAGCTTTAAGAAGTTTGGCTCTCTGAGCCTTTACTCTTGAGATATCACATTTTTACTGAATTTTATAACAGAAAATTGTGATTCTCTCAGGTTACTATGAAAACCGAGTATCGACTTGACACATTGCACGAATAAATCTGTCAATAAAACTAGCTCATTATGAAAGTTTCACTAATGTTTGAGTCTGCTATCTTGAGATATGAATACTGAAAGCCTCATAAAAAAATGCAATAAGTCTTCTTAGAGTAATATTTCAGGAAACCACATACTAAAATAAAAGAAATTTTTACAATGAACTAGTGTCATGAAGAAGTTCATTTGTACAAAGTATCAAGACGAAACTCAAAATTCGATTTTCATGGAACTTGAGAAGAACCACAGCTTTCTATTCAAAAAATGCAGTAAAATTTCGATATCTGAAGAACAAAGACTTAGACAATTGAATATTTGGGAACATTTCCTCATCAGCTATAAAGTGTCCTATTGAGTCTCTTATTTTATCTTGTACGAGAGATTTTAAAACTTTTATGTATTTAAACGAAGTTTTTGAAACACTGTTTCATTTCAACTAATGTCGATTTCCATGGAAAGTAGTACATAGACTTTGAGTATTATGAGATTGTAATGTCTTATTTTGTACAGAATGCAGTGCTCTTCAATACTGTTGAGGAGCCACAATGATTTCAAGATACAAACTAGCGATTGCGCTAAAATCGCCATTTTACTTTATATAAACACAGTTTTGGACTTATTCGCAAAGATTTACTGATGTTTGTTCAGTCTTATCAAAGATGAAAAATTTGAACATATATTTAGAAATAGCGAAAAACTTCGATTCTAACTAATTGCTTCTGACTCTAGTCAGTTGCCTTTTGGTGGACAAAAATGAGTAAACAGTGTGTGTTCAGAGTTCCACACCATAGATTGCTTACTCATTATATAACGTTTGACCACCAGCAACGTAAATAGCGTCACCATCTGTATATATTCCTATAATATTCAAAAAGAAAAAAAAATTTTCGTTAAATCATGATAATCTAATTTTACTTAATTATTCACCAAAATGAACTCGACATGGACTTAATCGTGGGATTTTCACTGTACTTCCATTGAATTTGAATAAATAATCTGTATCAGGTTCTTTTTGAATAGGAACATTGACATATAGATTGTAACCACCTGAATTTATTTCATGAAAAATGATTTACCAAAACAAGAAAACAACAAACGAAAAGTTCATTTACCAATAATAAAAATTCCTATTTGTTCATGAACCAGTGCATATTTCTTTCTTGGTTCTATACTAGCCATCTTTTTTACCACATAAGATTCTTCATTCTCAATAACAGACGGATCTTTTTTAACGTGTGGACCCATGATCTGATAAAATATGTTTTTGATTATCTAATGATAGTGTCTGACGACCTTACTTACAGTAAGACCTGGATCAAATATAGGTGCATCAGAAGCTGCCTCACGAATGATACCAAATGATCGTTTCAATGTAGTAATGTATTGTTCAAAAACATCCAAACAATGAGATTGACGTTGAATATATTTTGTTAAATAATCATCTGAATCTACGGCACTATAAACAATAGAAGCTTGCATAAAAGTTAATAATAACAGAGAAAAATATACCATTTCAACCGAATTCGATTTGAACGAATGACAAATTTAGTGTTACTATCTGATCAAAAGAAAGCCATAAAAAAACAAAATTAATATTGAGAATATCAAATATCAACATTACTGTGTTTCAACATATTTCGAGTGAAATCATTGATTTCATCTAAATCCCATGTTAATTCAAAATTATCTGGTGTTTTATTATTTAAATTAGAATTTTTCCCATTGATTTGTGAATTCTTTTTTGAACTAGTTTCATCTATCTTTAGTTGATTAAATGAAAGTGTTGGAGAAATTATTTGATCCGTACTTTTTAAAGTTGTTATAGGAAATGAATTGGATTGTACTTCTGATACTGAATCATTGTTTTGATATTCGAATGTTGGTAATTTCTGTACTGTTTTTATTGTTGAAGACGATAGAGCATCTAATGATACGTTAGACATTGATGAAGGTACATTCGAATTATGTTGACTTTTATTTGGTTTTTGTTGTTGTTTACTATTCATTAAATAGATAGAAGAGATCTTAATTTTTGAACGACTTGTTAATGGCTTCTGTTTTTATTACATACCTATATGTGGTTTTACGAGCTTTAGCTGCATCAGGAAGTGTAATTTTTATAACTTTTTCATAATTCTTTTTCTTAGCCTAGATTAAAAATGTTAATGAATTAGACTATTGTTTTTATGTTATTGTTGGAAACAAACTTTTTTATTTGATTTTTTGCTTTTTTTAGATTTTTTTGATGAACTTTTATTTGCCATAGTTTTTGTATTATTCATTTTTTTGCTACTCTCATTTCTTTCTAAGAATCTTCTATGAGTTTCATATAGATTATTTCTATTTAATTCATTATTTATCTCAATAAGATATTTTTCTTGTTGATGATCAACATGTTGTGATTGTGTTTTCAAACCATAATGTTTAAAAATAGATTCATATTGATCTAATTTGTTTAGACGATTTTCATCATCGATTATTATTGATGACATTGTAACATAAAAGGTTTTTTTTGAAATAAAATAGAAAAAGATAATGTCAACGCGCTAATATTCGAAGAAAATATTAAAAATTATTTTATTAATATTTTTTTTTTTATACATAATTATCTCGAACATGATCATACACACTTATGTCTATTGGAGGAGTTAAAATAATTGATATAGGTTCTTCATAAAAATGTTGAGAAAGATTCATAGATGAAATTTGAATTCGTTCGGTTACTGTTGACTCTTGATGAAATATTCGATGAGATGTATAGAGAATAATCATAATAATGATGAATAATAAGAGCAAAAGTATAGGAATACCTATGATGAATATCCATCGATATTGAAACCAAAAATTCTTTTTTGCATTCAACCATAAAGAAACTATAGTTGAATTCATCGGTAGAATGTTTCGTAATGTCGAAGCTAGAATAGATATCAAATAAATATAAAAATAGATTAATTTAATAAACATTTACCTTGATCACATTGTTGAATAAATAAATCTTTAATGATTAATGAATGATTGCTAGCAATACCATTACTTTCTGTGACTACATTAATCTGTATTTTTTTTCTGAAATAAAATAAATTTTCTTATAGTTTATTAGATTTATTTACCATAATTAAGTTTTTTGGAAGTGGAACAGTAAAAGAATACCAAAGTAACTCAAGTTGTTCATTTGGAATACAAAAATTCGAAAATAATATGGATTGTTTTTTAGTATCAGCCAAAGTTTTTCCATAAAAATTCATACAAGCTGAAACAAAATACAATCTACACAATTCAATAGATTTATTTTTTTTTATTACAACTCATAATTGAACCAGTAATAAGATATTTGAATTCTAAACAATATTGATTATTTGATGATAGATTTAGTTTTGTGAGAAATGTAGATTTTGATCCATCAAGATGTTTCATAATGCATAAATCTAATAAGAAATATTTAGAAATAAATCTATTGAAATAATTTCTTCTATTTACATGAACTCATCTTTTGATTGTATCCACATCCATGATTTATATTCCAACCGAATAAAGTCCACTGACAAGACCCATTTGTTCGATCTGGTAAACAAATCAACTTTCCTTCTATAACAATGATAATATTGTCATAAACAATAATTTATTAAATCTTAATTCTATTGACCTGAATTTTTAAATATGATAAGAAAAATAACAAGTATGATACTTTCATTTGATATTGCCATTTTTCTCATCGTTGATGTTTTTTCTTTTTGATTCTTTTGTGTTGTTGATATTCTTTGATATTCATATCCATTATTTCTTTCAATTCTTTTTTTTTTTTTTGCTTTTGTTTATACACAATATTAAGAAGATAGCATTGTAGTAACAATGCCGAAATAATAAATTAGAATATACATATATACTTGAGAAATATTTGAATTTTATTAAATTATTCTAATTCTAAATTCCCTGAACTTCTTACAAATATATTCCAATACAAAAAGAAACATTCACAAAATTATGCACAATAGTAAACGATATTTAAAAAAACAATCACATCACTTTTATCTATTTACTCATATCGAGAAAAAACAGAATACCCCTAGAGTGCTATTTTATTTTTCATGTTATGTTCTCTCTGATCGGACAAAAGCATCAACAAACACAAAAACAAATATTGTCCTACAAAAAGTTAGACATTGATATTTAAAAAACTAAAGAAAAAAAAAAGGAGAAACAGAAATCTAATCTACGTTTGTAATATATCATTGTTTTTTATACAATAATCTACATCTAATTTTTCCGGTTATGATTACTGTCGATAACATCAGGTGCTGAAGCTACTGTTGATCCTGAAGAATATTCAATTGTTGGAAAAAATCCTTTTTCTTTGAATACAGATCTAAAAAATAATATAAAATTTATAAACAAATAGATAAAATGAAAATAATCTTACTCATAAAAACGAACGTGAGCTTCCAATTGATTTAATAATAATTGTTGTTGTTTTGAATGTGCTTTGAGTAACTGTTTATAATCAAATAAAAGAAAATAAAATTTTTACATTCTATAAAAATTAATAATAAATCGAAAAATTTACTTTGTATTTTTTCTGACTACTCTGACAATCATTAAGATCATAAGTAAGTCCACGAACAAATTGTACTAAAAGTGCATTTTTAGTTTTTAAATTTTCTCTATCGCCTGTTAATTGTTGCATTAATGATGGAATTTTTTTTAAATGTTCTTGTAATGTTCCATTTCGATTATTGTTAGTAATACCATCGTCAAAACTAGATAAATTGAAAGTTTTTCATTTAAAAAAGAAAGAATTCAAATAATCAATCATCTATTCTACATTTATTTAGTGTCGGACAAATAGTGCATGGAACATGAATATTATATTAATTGACTAGAAGAGAATTAATACTAATATACACACAAACAACGTGAATGAGATTGCAAATTGAAAGAAACAAAACAAAAAAAAAAGGAAGGAAAATAAAACAGGTATGAAAACAATATTATCTGATATAAATGCATTTTTTAGATACACACAAATGTAAGTAAATGGTTAAATGACTAGGGAAGAAACTAGAACGTAACACATGACAACGCCCATTATATAAAAAAACAAACAAAAACTTTTTTGCTTTTGTGACTATTTTTACCACAATTCTGGAATACCATCATGAATAAAATTTAATGCTTGATCACAATCTTTTCTTAAACGTCTTTGTTCTTGTTCACAACGATCAACATTTTCACGCATTAATTTCAATTCTTCAGTTAAAGCTGCATTTTCAAGACGAAGAATATTTAATTCAGCATCTTGTTTGGTACACTAAAGAAAAAGATGGCAAAAAAAAATTTTTATTTTTTGTGATTATTTTCAAAAAGAAAAAGTACAAATCGAATTAAATACCTTATTATTAAGTGATGAAATATTTTTAATATTATTTTCATATTCATTTTTAATTTGTTCATGTTCTTTTTCACGTTTTCGTATTAAACGTTTATATTCATCATTTGATCGTTCGAGAATAGATATACGTCGTTTTAATTCTTGATTCATTTCTTCAATTTTTTCAAACTAAATAAAAATATATTGAGAAATTTTACATTAAAAATTATACTTAAATGATAATATAAATTAAAATTAATAATGAACTTAACAAACAATTCATATTACGTTTGGTAACATATTTATTAATTGTATTCATATTATATCTCAAATTTTCTAATTAGAAAAACTAACTAACATGATTTTTTTATTTGACCAAGGTACCAGTTAATTGAAACTTGAGATCTATCGTAATTAGAGATGTATGAAGATACATCACTCATTGGTAACGATTGGATTTATTCTAAATTATTTCTTCTGACCGTGGCGGCGGATGAATTTGTTAAAAATTTCCTTAATTACAAGCAATTTAAAGATTGGACATGGCGGAAATTTTCGAAAACCAAATAATGCTACATCTTCTGGTAGGAAACCTTGAGTGATGTTTGATTTCTCAGCTGACATATTTTCCAAACAAAAAAATACTACAAAAATTTTGGTAAACTTGGGATATCGAATTATTTTCTGAAATATGATCTAAAAGGAGCGTTGAAGTATACGGATAAAAAGTTGAACATTACTTCTCTCACAAACTATGATAAATGCCTTACTAACGTCCACTGAAGCCCTTAGGTTGGTCTCGGACTCGAATTTGAAGGTACTAAGGTTTTTAAAACTTTGAATCCAATGGGCTCTAACATCCTCTATCTCACTCACAGATCATGACAAATGTTCTTGATATACGATCTGAGATCATATATCAATATCGTTTAGTTATAATACGTAAAAATCTAACCTTGGCAGATGTTGTAGATTGGTCATATTTTAATGATTGTATTTCTGATTGTGACATATTTAATTCAGCTTTTTTCTGTTCTAATAAAAATAATGAATCTTTATTTGCTTCTTTTAATGATACTAATAATGATTCACATTCATTTATCTAAAACATACAGATTTTGTTTTAAGTTCTTTAGATGTTTTGAAAATAAAAATTTTACTTTTTCTTGATATGATAATTCATTTTGTTGATATGTTCTTTGTAATGATTCATTATGTGCCTGTGTATTTGCTAATTGTTTTTCTAATTTTTGTGTTGCTTGATGTAATAAACGATTTTCATTTGTATATCCATCACTATCATTTTCAAGTTTTTCAATCTAAAAATCAAAATTCAGAATCAACTTTCATTTTGAAAACTTATTAAATTATTACCTTTTTATTAGCATTTGTCATATTTTTAATTAATTGATCACGTTCTTGTATTGTATCATCTAATGTATGTTTTAAACGTTCAATAAGTGCTTGAGCTTCAGAATGAGCTTGTGTTGTATTACTAGAAAAAGACAAAAGAACAGAAGAAAATAAATAAATTATTATTTAGAAAAAAAAAGATTTACTTGAGCTCTTTACGTAATTGTACTAAATTCATTTCTTGTTCATCAATTTTTGTATGCATTATACCTTCAGCTCGATGAAAATCATCAATTTTAGTTCTCATACGTTTTGCTTCCATACGTAAATGACGATTTTCATCACTTGTTTGAGACCATTTACGTTTATATTCTCGTACATATAAATGAGCTTTTTCAAGAACAGGTTTAATAGTCATGAATTGTAAAATTAAATCTTCATGGTGACTTCGTAAAAGTGTTAAAGTTTTTGTTGATTGTTCAAAACGTTCATCAAGTATACGAAGTCTATTTGCATCTTCACTTAAATCAGTTATTTGTTCATGAAGTTTTGATGTAATATAAGCCCATCGTTCACTTGTTTCAGATGCCTATTGAAAACAAAGATTAGTCATAGAAGAAACTTTTTCAATTAAATAGTCTTTAGTACAATTTACCTTTCGAACAACTGTCTTGAAACAATTGCCAAGTAATGCTAGTTTTCGTTTACAGATTTTCGCTTCTTCTATTGATTGTAGTAACTAAATATATACAAAGATGCGTTAAAGCTCAAACTGAGAGTACGATCAATTTTGAATTGAGGGAGTCATTCATATTAAAACTCAAATTACTACGTAGATCGATATCGTATTCGAATTCTTATGAATGAAGTGAACGATAGTAATGATGTTTCAAATAAATATAGTCATCAATTGATCATTTACGTTTGAATCCTTGAATTCATAGATGATTTTATATACAAGAATTGCTTTAATGAAAACTATTCATAATCACTCGAATCTTTACTTGATTATTCAATTGATGATTGCATTAATTGAAATTCTGTTTGCTTCCGCTGCTTTTATCAATAAGAATTCAATTACAATATAGATCCACGAATTAATTCAAGTTTTACCATATAGAGAATGTTCGGAAAGTCACCAATCAAAAAGAAAACCGCGTATCTCTACTTCAGTTAAACCAATTCAAATAGCTTGTTTTTCTGCTAATAGAAGAGACTTTCAAGTTTTTATTCGTAAAGTTAAAATTTACACATATTTGTAAAAACTACTAATCTTGAATTCACTATGAGAAAAAATTCTTGTTTTCGAATTTTGAAGGCACAGTTTCCCAGTAGCTTACTGTAATTTTTTTGTTATTCTAGCCTTTTCCGCTATCCAGATTTTCTTCTCTTTTTAATAAATATTTACATAAAAGTTTTGAAAAATCTTAAGTAATCAGTACGTTTAGTCCTCATTGAAAATATTGATAAATCAAATGATAAAACTGACACAATTTTATGGTTCTCACAGTCACTAAATTTGAGACTAATGTCATTAATTTTTCAAAAAACTGTCATACACATAGCTGTAAACTTAGACCAAAATATCTGAATAGCAAAAATTTCAGAAACTTTAATTTTCTAAATAAAAACTTGGCAGTCTTCTCTATAAGTAGAAAAGAAGTCACTTGATTGGATTTGAGCGTAATGGATGTATATGATTTTCTTTTTGGTAGATGACTTTCCAAATACTCTGCATATACATAATTAATAGTAAATCGTAATTTTAATATTTCTATTTACCTGTTCTTTATGTGAAATATCAGACTTTTGACTTTGTTCAAGATCATATCGACATTTAGTTAAATCTTCATTTAAAGTAGTGTGTTCACGTTGAAGTTTTTCATAATTGCTAATCATCATTGATAATTCATTTTCGATTGTTTTCATACGTTGTTCACGTTCAAAATATTCTTCATTTGAATATCGATGTTCTTTTTCATATGAATGAAAATCTTGTTGTATTTGATGAAGACGATTTGTAATTGCTGATAACTAAAATTAAAAAATAAAAAGATATAAATAAAAAAAAAAGAAATAATGCTTTGTCTACTTCATTTGTTTTTTCTGTTAAATGTTGCTTTAATGTTTGATTTGCAATTTCATGTTGCATTATTTGATCTTGTACGATAGATAAATCATTTTTTGATTTTTCGTAATCAATTTGTAAACGTGATAAAAGATGATTAAGAGTTTCAATTTCACGTTGTCGATCATCAAGTGATTTATTTGTTTCTTCTAATAATGAATTTGTTCGATTTACATTTTGTTTTAAATCCATTTCCTATAAAAATGAACAAAAAACAAACTATGTTATCTTATTAAAAATAACATAATCGTATACTTTAACAGAATGTTCTTGTATAAGTGAACGTGCTTGACTTAGTTCAGTTTTTATTGTATCAATTGTCATTGATGAACTTTTCGATTGCATTTTTAATTCATCTAATTGACGTATAGCATCTATAGCACGTTTTTGTTCTTCATCTAATTGTCGTGTTAATAAAACAATTTTTGTTGCAGATTTTGAAGCTGATTCAGTTTCATCATATAACATTTTTTGTATATTTTCAATTTCATTTTGATAATTTTCATTTTGTTCTCGTATATCATTACGTTCACTTGTTATATTGAAAAGATTTTCTTTTAATTCATCAATATTTTTTAATAAATCAGTTTCATTTGTTTTTAATGATACTATTTCACTATTTAATTTTTCTATTTCATGACGATATTTATGTGTTTCATCTTCACGCAAAATTTTTATATTACGTATATCAGCTTCGGAACGTTCATATTGAACATTTATGGATTCTTTCTACAGAAAAAAACAAAAACAAATAGAATATGATTTATTTCATTGAAATCATATTTAAATACACGAACAAATATTTGTAGAATTTATTTTTTTTTCTGAGATTTTAATATTATTGTTCGTTCTATTTCAATATCAATTAAAGATGTTGAATTTTTTGAGAATATTACTATCTTTAGGTTCAGTTTCGATTCGTAACATACTATTGAGAATGTGAGTATCGATATCAACCTTCTTGACAGTAGTATCCATACTTACACAAACATTCAGAGACAAACTCGAAGCCTTATATCCATTACGTTTGTTTGTTCGTTTGGGTTTTCATTTGCTTTATGCGATATATTTTTCCGTATTCATTTATAACTATTTCTCTCACATATAATATTATTATCCATCAGTTTCACTGTATACTATAGGGAATCGTATTTCATATTTGTTTATTGTAAATTTTCAAACTATTGGTATTATTTTACTGTTCCATATCATTTTGAAAAATATTTCAAGTCATTTTGTTTGTTGAAGTAGAATTTTCAATGCCACAACCTTTTATGATTTTATGTATGGTAGACGTTAGTTATTTGCCGTGTTTATCTTGCAATTATGTACACTTAAATAGAACATATCGAAAATGATATGAGTACTTATAAAACTTCAATGTAAGATGTTTTTTTTTTCCCTTTGAATAAGTCTACTACGAGTCAGACAATAATGGAAAAGAGTCATGAAGTATTCTCTCTCTCTTAAGTTTTGTTTTGCTTTAAGCTTTTCTCCCTGAAAGTTTTTTTGTTAGCTATTGTGAAGTAGTTTTTTTTTGCATTATCTTAGACAGCAATAAACTAAAGGCTTAAACTTTTTTCAGAGTTTTTATAGTTTATTTGAACCTACATAATGCATGTAGTCTTGATTCAAAAAAACTTAATTTATTAGTTGGAAGACTTTTTTCTTCATGGATTTAGATTTTCTTCCTCTAATAAGAAAAATCACGAGAAATTTATAGTGTATTAAAATAATTTTCTATAATAAATACCTCTTCTTGAAGTTTTAATAGATCTTGTTGTAATATTTTAATACGATTTTCTTGTTCTTCTTGAACATTATTTAAACGAGCAATTTCTTTTTCTTGTATTAAACATTCTTCTTTAGCATATTTTGATTTTATTTCTACTTCATGAAGATTTTGATCATACCGTAGAAGTTGTTCTTGTTTAATTGCTAACTAGAAACAAAAAAAAAAAAAAAAAAAAGATAGAAAGTAAGTTTCTTTTATCAGTATTATTTTGAAAAAATTTAATTACTTGTTTATTTAATGATTTTTGCATTTGTTGAAATTCATCTTGTTTTATTTTTAATTCATTTGTTAATTGTTGAATTTGTTGATTAAGTGCATGATTTGCATGTTCACGTTGAGTTAATGATTCTGATACATGACGAAGCTAATAAGAAGAGAAAATCAATGTATAATATTAATTAATTACAAAAAAATTTAGTCTTTTTTTTTTTTTTATTACTTCACGTTGTAAAACTTTAACATCATGTAATGCTTTAGATGCATTATCTTCAGCAAATTTTTCTCTATGATGAATTTTAACAAGACCAGTTTCAAGTGTTTCAGTTAAATGTGCAACTTCAGCTGTTTTATCGATAACATTTTGTTCTAATTGATCAATATGACATTGTTTATCAAGAATTTCTTTATGTTTTTGTATTAATTCAATTTTTATTTTATCCATTTGTTGTTCATAATCAATTAATGTTTTATTACGTAAATCAATTAATGTCATTGCTTCAATTAATTTTGTTTCAATTAAATTTATTCGAGAAGTTAATTCATTTATTGTATATTCATATTGTTCATTTTTTATTTTCGATTCTTGTAAATTATGTTCAAGTTTTTCAATTTGTTCTTTTGATAAATGTATTATATTAGATAATTTTTCATGTTCATGTTCATTTGTAATATTTTTATTTTGTTCAACTATTAAATGTTCTTGACATGTACGTAATTCTAACGATTGCTTATGAAGCTAAAAATAAAAGAAAAGATAAACGAGTGTTTCGTATAGAATAAATATTTAAGAATTTCAAGATGAATTAAATGTTCTATAGAATTGAACTTCATCATTGGGTACTGAGTGTGGTGAAAGATTATTTTAAACAGCTAAAAAAAGTCACTGATCAGAAGATTTAAGATGGTTGTGCAAAGCTTGAAATAGTGAGTGTAAACATTATTTTTCAAACTACTCTCTAAACTACTTGACTGACTGTTTGTAGAACGATTATAGAAATGAAATTAAGAATTTTGAGAATATGTCGAAACATCTGATATTTTTAAATATAATGTATTCCTACCAAGAGAGAAAATACATGATGGGAACGTATTCTTCTAAAGTCCCACAATAGTTTGATAGATACGAGATGAACAAAATATAGAATGATCCTTAGGAGATTTCCGAGGATCCAAACTTCTAGCTTTTCAGCATCTATAACTGAGGCATAAAGTTTTTATTTCGCCATACGAAATGATAGAGCGAATAATTTTTAAAAAAATGAGATGTCCCGGAACTCTCAATGATGTTTTTTGATCAAGCTACATCAAACTTATGAAAGACTTCCAATAGAAGTTTTGCCAAGGCATTGTCCCATACAGTGACCAAACGACCATCACTCACGAATAGATATCTGCGTGACTAGTCACGCAAATGTCTACTCACGAACGAGAATGTTCCTAATCACTCTATCTATACTATTGGCATATTGCAAATTCTTAATATTCTATTCCAATGATTGTTTTATTAGTGATACTTAATAATCAGCCTCGAAGATAGTTAAATGATAATCTAGAAGAATGTTATTAGAACAAGCGCTAATATGGAAATTGCATCTATTGTAGAATATCGATTTGATTGAACATATTTTTTTAGCAACCACGAAAGCATCTAATTCGAACATATTCATAAATTCAGGATTATCTTTGTTAAAATTGTATCAGTAACTGTGGACAAATTCGTTTTCCGAACTATCTTATTTCAAAGACAGTAAAATACATTATCTACTAATGATAGAACTAGAGACATATCGAATATGTCATTTTGATTTGATTTTCACTTCTGTGTTGTACATCTCATCATCATACAAGTCTCTAATCGAGAATAACTTTTTAATATATAATACCGAACGTAAATATATTCCCTCTTTTGTGACCGATTTTGGTTCTCGAAGACTTTGAAGTGGATTCCTGCTGGAAAACTATGGTTCCGATTGGATCGCATCCTGCTTGCTTACGATCTCAATGAAACTTTATTCAATTTAGTTGAAAATGTTTTTAGAGATACCTAAGACAATATTTTGAAGGTAATTTTAAGCTTTTCCAAGAATTTGACTTTCTTTTTATTTCTTTATGAGAGAAACACATAAAAGTTCGAAGCCAAAACCGTAGTCTCGACTTCAATGATAAAACTTTCAGCTTAATCGGTTATACTATCTTTGAAGATCAGAAACGGTCAAACAAGAGGTAGATACCCTTAACGTTATTATCATAATTCTTTCTATGAAAAAAATAATATACTTGATCTTTTTTTTCTTCGCATAGACGTTTTAATGCTCGAATTTCTGTATGTAATTGTTCAGCATCATTTGTTGATGTTTCAATATGTTGTTCTAATTGTTCATCATGAGATTTTTTTAATGCTCGAAGATCTTGTTCAAGTTTATTGATTAAAGCATCTTTTGTTTTAAGCTAAAAAAAAACAAATTAAATTAAATTAAAAAAATCTATTCTTTCATATTAATTCTTTACTTCAGCTGTAATTCCATCAAGTCGTTTTTTAGTTGAATGTAATTCTTGATCAAGTTTTTCATATTCAATTTTTGATACTGTTGATTCAACAGGTTGTATAGGAATAATTGGATAATTATTTGATGTTAATTCTCGTTGAAGATTACGAATTTGTACTTCTAAATCAGCTGTTATTGTATCTTTAACACGACACTAATAAAAAACGACCAAATAATAGAAGGAAAAAGGTTTATTAAGAAAAAAACTAAACCAACTTGTCGTTGTAAATCATTACGTTCATTTTCAAGTTGAACTTTTTCACTTAAAATTTGTTCGATTTGTTGCGTATATTGTTCAATTTGTTGTTTTTTTAGTTTAATATCATTATTTAGTGATGTTGTTGATTCTCGATGACGATCTGTTATTGTTTTCAATTTTGTTGATAAATCATGTGTATGTTCATCATAATGTTGTTTATTTTTTTGATATTCTTCTTGAAGATCTCTTAATTCATTAGTTTTGAGACGTGTCTAATAGATAAAGAAAATGAAGCCCTTAGCACAATTCGTACGACATTCAAATGTGAAATACTACTGTTAAAGTGCACATTGATGATAAAAGATATGAACAATGGATGAGAAAAAATAAGAAAAACCATCATACTAATTCTGTAATGTGATTTCATTCCACAACTATGTCTATCACGAGTCGTGACGGTGAAGAGGTATTGTTAAGATGCCTATCATAGTCTGTGAGACGAATAGGGGGTAATGGTGCTAGCTGTCAGCTATGTTCTCTCTTTCTCCCATTAGCTGCCAGAATTTACTTTTTCGGTCATCAAACGAAAGATACTAAGTTGCAGGCAAGTACAATGGCTGACAGTGATAGTGAGAAATACACTTATGATCGACAATCAATTGAGAATGAAGACTGACTTTTTAGAAGCATGGTTCTCTTTTGTCACAATTAGAATCTATTATAAGTCTAGTTAAAATCACTACTTCATATAAAACAGATCAATCCTGAAAAATTCAATTTCGGTGACCCTCCTATATTTCAACATTCGTTTCAGAGAGTGTTTCATAAAAGAATTCAAATGAATGATTATTATAAATGTAAAAAATATTTCTTACATCCATTTTAAGTGTTTCAGTTTTTTGACATTCTTCAACAAGTTTAGCACGAAGATCTTCAACTTTTTTTGAAAGAACAATATTCTAAGAAAGAAGTTTGAAAATTTTATTAATAAATAACATTAATACAAACTTGCTCTTTTGAATTATCATCTGCCATAAATGAAGCGAAAGATGACTGCCTATTCGGTGTCTTGATTAAAAAAAATGAAATATTTTCAAACGAATAAGTTAAATAATAATAGTTTTCTACTTGTTTAATTAATTCATCTTTTGTTTTTCGAAGTTGTTCAATTTCAGCTTGTAAAACTTGTATACGTTCATCACGATATTGAATTTCTTTATGTAAAGGTACTGTAGGATTTATATCGTCATTTGATATACCAATAATACGATCAAGTGGAATAGTTTTTAATTGAAGTCTTTTTGTATCCCATTTACCCGTTCGTTTAGCGGTATTAATAAATGTTGTTAATGAATCGAGATCATGTTTTAAATCAAGATTTTCATGATTCAATTTCCACTTTTCCGATTCAATGCTCTTTAAGAAAATAGACAAGGATAATAATTTATAAATTATACAAATCAAAACTAAGAGTACTACGTATTTTTCGCTTTTTCTTTCTATAATACTGAGCATGTAACTCAAATTCTAATAATGATTTAAATAGCCAATGAAGTTCTCTATAAAATGCATTATATAACAAAATTTCATACATAAACTATAAGAAAAAAAGGTTTCTAAAAAATCAAACATAGTGGTTTTCAGATCCTAGAAGACTGTTTGAAAATTAGTTGTTAATAATATCATCTTAAATAATGTCAGATTCTGAACAAAATGAGAGATGGCTGCGTTTTCCATGACTTTCATATATAAAGATATAATCATCACACACAATGCAAAAAAAAAGCAATTTATGTAAAACTTCTTTGTTTATGTATTTTATGTTGCTTACAACTTTTAAAAGAAACTCATAGATGATGCGGTAGTCATTTATTATGTTCAAAATTTTATACTCTTTAGATGGGACTTGTTATGTTATGACATTCATATAAATATGTATTGTTCATCTTTTGTCTTTTGTTTCTTTTCTTTATTCTTTCTTCAAAATGACTTATATGTATGCAATATTATGTACCAGTAGTGATTCTTTAAGTTCAGGAAAGAAACAAACAGTTATGGGCCACACTATTGAACCTATTTTGTCCTTAAGTTTATATAATATAAAAGTAGGACATAACAGGACCATTAACAACTAACTTTCATACAATCTTCTGAGGGCTAAAAACTATCGTGTTTAGTTGCTCAGGAAACTTTTTATAATTCATCTATAAAATTTTTATGTAGAATGGACTTAATAAATAGCGACGTTGACTACTCAAATGACTATTTGGAATCGAGTTACATACTTACGAGGAAATGTTTGTAATTGTCAAACAGCTGTCGGGTCAGAAATGTTGTATCTTGACTTTCTAATGAACTCGGGCTAATCGCTTATTGCTGTCGGCATACTGCACTTTTAAACAGATTATCGTGTTCCTTCTCAGAAACACTAGGAAACCTGAGTTTTGAGTTTCAATTGAAAACTTTGTATTGCGACAGGCCTTAAAAAGAGTAGTTTATTGTAAAAGTTTCAGATTTTTCGATTGCCTCTATTCTAAGATATGACTATAGTAGAGGCAATCGAAAAATCTAAAACTTTCACAATAAGCTATTCCCGTTCAGGTCTGTCTCTATGCAACTTGAAACTCAGTTTTTCAAATATTTCTGAGAAGAATCATGACAATCTGCTAAACAAATACAATATTTCGGCAGTAATAAGCTATTCGCCCAAGTTCTTTTCAGAATATCAATAGTTCATTGGGAAGTCAAGATACACGAAGTCCTGACTCTACAGCAACTTGATACTTAGATACATTTTCTTGTCGATATCGATTTTTATTTTTGGATTACTTACGCTAACACTTTTTGTTACATCTGACAATGAATGATGTTGCTAGACATTGTAGAACAAAAAATTACAAGAAATAAAGGAACTACAAATAATTAAACATACTTGTAAAGATGCATGTGCTTTTTTAAGTTTATTTTCAAGTAAAGCAACACGTTGATTAGCTTCGTTTTCAAGCTCATCAAGACTTTGTAATAATAAACGTGTTTGAATTGATAAATCTTTTACATAGCTCTCATAAACAGCTAATTTTTGCTAAAATATAAAATATTATTTATTCAACTTTATTATCAACATAAATCTCTTTTATTCTATCAGATACACAATGATAAATGAAATTTCTTCGATTCAATCTTACAATTCCAATTGATCAGTTTTACAAGATTTTTGTAAAAAACTTTACTCGGATAATCTGAAAATTTAAAGCTAATTTGATAGAGTTACATTCAAAATAACATCGCCTATGATTTTTCATTGAAATAATGATAAACAGAAAACCAAATATTTTCTTTAGAAACATCAAAAATTCATTGAATTATAAGTGGGTATTAGAAATAGAAAGCCAAAGGCTGCACGACTGTCACAAGATTAGAATAAAGGCAGTATAAGAAAATGTCCTAGAGAAATAATAAAAAAAAAAATTTCGATTACTGAAGAGAAGGCTGTACACTCTCCATCTTCTCGCCTTCACGTCTCCTACAAACCACATTGCAAAAATCAATTTTTCAACAAGCTCATGTCATCAGTTATTTGAAGAGGAAACCTTAGACATTTCTCGTGTTCGTCAAGTGTCATAACAAAATCGAGTTTGTTCTATTCGTGAAAAAATGATTTGTTAAACAAAAACCTATTCTTAATATTTCAATATCACAAAAGATTTTCCATAAATATGTGTTTTTTTTTTCTTCTTCTTACACTTGATCAATCAAAGAAAAAAAAACAAAATCAATACATATTTAATGACAATTAAATGAATATACCTTATGGCGTTCATCAGTTGTTATATGTTTTTCATCAATAGTTGTTAATTTTTTAATATAACGATTTTGAACTTCTTCGAATAGAGTTGCAACATGTTTAACATTAAGATTTTGATTTGAACACGTTGTGTTACTCATTGACAAAAGAAAAATGAAAGAAAAAAAGGAAAAAAGAAATGCTTGTCTCAATGACAGAAGGACATTTAATATAAATCTAGTTTCATGTTCTTAAAAGATACCATTCATTTGATCATTTCTTTGACTTAACCTCTATGTATACATAATGCATTTTTTATTAAATGCATTAATGTTTTAAAATTAAGAAATAAATAATCTATATTTAAAATAAAAACAAAAAACAAAATTATTTTCTTTTCTAAAAAAATAAAATTATTAAAAATAAAAATAATTTAATTTTTTTTTCGTTTATAAAAAAAAAGTAAATTCATGTATCGCATGTCTCTCTTAGTACTAAATATTGATAAATAAATATACAGAATGAAGAAGGTTTTTTTTTTATTGTTGACTGTCCTCTTTTTATTGTGTACTATATTTGTACTCAAAAATGAAGAAAAAAAAATAATAAAGAATAGTCATATTTATCAAGTTTCTTTTTTTTCTTTTTATAGATTATAATATTATCTGTTTTTTTTTTTCGTCTTTTGTTCATGTTATTATTGTTTCATTCATTAGTGTTATTCATTTATAATCAACGAACTATTTCAATATCTTGTCATTCTATTGTTTAATATCGAATGGCTATAAACAATTGTTAACAAAAAAAAAAAAAAACACATTATTAAATTTATCAATATAATTAAAATCCAAAACACATATTCAAAAGTTAAAAGTTAAATAATGGCATCGAAAAAACAGAAAAAAGGCAAAACAATGCCATTGACTGATTTTCTGGCTGCTGAACCAAAATTAGTTACTGTTCGAGCAACAAATTGGTCAGAAATAGTCGATAGTGAAGAACAAGAAGTAAAACCTATTGGTAACAAAATCAATAAATTAAATTTAAAAAGAACAAAATAAAAAATTTCTTTTTTTTTTTGCTCTTCTAGTTGTTGATATTGGTGTTTTACCAACAGCTCCTCGTAGTGCCCATGATTTTGATTTTAGTACTGTACCAAATAATCCCCCCTTTGTTGCACATGTTGCTAATTTATCATTTGAAGTTGATGATGAAGGTCTAAGAAGAATATTTGCTGATTTAAATGTATGATAATTTTTTTCAAGTTTATTCTTTCTATATTTGTTTGCTTTTCTTTTCTTTTATTTAGCCAAAAACAGCTAGAGTACTGCGAGATGGTATGCGTAGTCGAGGTCTTGGTTTAGTTGAATTTGAAACACGTGAAAATTTAATTGAAGCGTTGAAAAAATCCGATAAAGAAGTCTATGGACGTAAAATACGTATTAATGTTTCGGATAAAAATGATTCACATACAGATAGTGGACGAGGAACATTTGGTAGTAATCGATCACATCGTAGTGGTGGTGGTGAAGAACGACCAGAAATGGCTGATAGATGGAAAAGAGCTGAACGTAAATATTGCACTGTTTTTTTTTGTAAAGCACGATCGAAAATGAATGTAGACATATAGAAATAAAAAGTTGAACCCTTTACAGACGTCTTTCTAGGGAACCTCTTCAGCTTCTCCTTTCGATTTCAGTGATTGTTATCTTATAGATATTACATTGTTTTGTAATAAAAATCCTATAAGGCCTTGGTCTCCGATTAGAATTTGAATTATGATACCCACTGTTTAATATGTCTGTCTTTTAGAAGCTTCAGGTTTCCGAAAAACTCGTTTTTTTATGAATTCTGATTTGAAATTTTGTACATATAGGGAGCTCAACTGAACTAGTTGCCATAAAAAGATTCAGAAGTTTCGAACAAAGTCTCTTCGAGAGAAGAAATTTTCAAAAAAAGCATGTTGTACACACTATTCATCAAAAAGGGTTTCCCTATTGAAAGTTTCATGTCCTGAAGAGGCTTGCCTGAAAACTTGTGAGTTTTTTTTTTCAAGAAAGTTAGTCTAGTTAAATTCTTGATGTGCAGAAACTTTTAGTTTTAAATTCTTCAATAAGAATTTTCCGAAAGCCTGACATCACTAGAATAGTGTTATATTACTAATTCGATATCGTAGATAAATCTCAATCAGAAATAAAATCCTTTTAGAGTTTCTATTAGAATTCAATGTAGTATCTATAGGAAAGAGAATGATTAAGATTAGAAAGGGGAAGTTAAAGAAATTCCCTTGTGAGCAACGTCACGAACTTGAATATACATTCAGAGATCATTTATGAATAGTGTCTCGTTCCAATATAAGAACTACTTCCTGATTTCATTTCGAGAGTAAGACAATGAAGAAATGTGCCCATATTTGAATCCTCTAAGGATTTCGAAAACAGGTTTTTTTTTTTGCTAAAAAACAAAGATACTTAAAAAAATTCTTTTTAGCCCGACCTGATGAAACATCTGATGATCGTCCAAGTAGTGGTTTCAATCGTGATAGACAAAATCGTGGAGATCATGGACGATGTAAGTTATTTTGTATAGTATTTCGAAGAAAAATAAAATTTGGTTTATTTTTTTCTTTAAGCGACTATGGGTGGTAGTTCACGAGATAATCAACAAGGTAATGATTATGGATTTGGTTATCCACGTACGAGAGACGATCGTGGAGGTGGAGGTGGAGGTGGTAATCGTGATTATAATCGACAAGGACAACGTAATCGTTATCAAGATGATACAAATCGATCGAATAGTGGAGCCGATAGACCTCGTTATGCAGGTCGATACAGTGATACACGGTATAATATTATTTTAGAAAGAGAACAGTTTTTTTTTTTACATTTTATTTAAAAAAATTATTTCAGTGATACACGTGATCGAAATCGTCCCAGTGGTATTTAATTCTTTTTGTTTCTTATTTGTTTTTTATTAAGTCGTTTTTCTCGAAATAAAATTAGATGATACTCATGATGATCAACAAGAACCACCACGTGAACGTCAACGACTTCAACTTCAAAAACGTACAAAACCACTTGAAGAAAATCAACCATTATCTGGTTCATCATCATCTCTTAATAATATTATTGAATCATCAATATCAAACCCGGATGAAGCATCATCTGCAATAACAAATAAATCTATTCAACAAACACAAGATTTATCAATCAATGAAAATCAGGATGAAAGTGAACAACAACAATCACGAGATTCAAATGATAATACTTCTCGAGCTAATACATCTGATGAACAATCAACAGCAAAACCAAGCCGTGGTGCTGGTGCTTCTATATTTGGTGGAGCTAAACCGGTGGATACAACTGCTAGAGAGCTTGAAATTGAAAGAAAAATAAAAGAACTTCAAATGACTACAACTGAAACATCGGCTGATAATGAAGATAAAGGAACTTCATCTAGGTAATTTATACAGAATGCTTCAAAAGTTCGACTGAAAAACAAACATGAATATCTTTTTAAATCATTCAAGCGATTTACATGAGACTTTTATAGTTTCATTCCATATTCATCAGAAATTAATTTCACATAAATTTTATCTCTGATAGATTTACAAAAATGATCACTTATCAATGCAATATACAAATCTCTTTTTTTTTAAATATATCTGTAAAAGCATCGTATGAAGTTTAGTTTGAAATCATGCTGATTTTTAAAGAAAAATATTTTACTATGCTGTAAACTTCTTTTTAGTTCAGAAATAAGAAGATTATGCTAGATGAACTCCGTATTATTTCACAAAGATGGAGTTTTTGTACAGTTTAGTCTCAAAGACTGTTAATTTCTGAAGAACATTTCTTCAAGCAAGTACAATAGCGAAGGCAATTCATTTCCATGGGCATCATGATCAGTTGAACTGATGCGACTCAACGTCTTTTTACATGAACATGTAGAGAATAATTTTTATTAGACATTTGTCAAAGATCAAGTTCAGTTGAAAATGAAAATTTATGATCAAATCAAAAAGAATTCAAACTAAATTTCATACGATATTTTTACAGATATTTTAAAAGTATGAGATTTGTGTATTGCATTTATAGGTGATCATTTTGTAAATCTATTAGAAATAAATTTATGTGAAATAAAATTCTGATGAATACAGAATGAAACTATAAAAATCTCATGTAAGTCAATTGAATGGTTAAAGAGATACTGACGTTTCTTTTACGGCCGAACTTTTGAAATATCCTGTATTTAGCATTTTTCAAGTGATTATCATTGAAGTTTTCTATTGTCTATTTAGGCCATCATATAATCGTGGTAGTGAACGAGATGTTTATCGTAGTAAACGTTCAACACAAAATGATGATGGTTATAGAAGTTTTGCTTTTTGAATAAATTCAAAATTATCTTTTTTTTTTTAATTTTTTTAAGGTCGATCTGGTCATGGTGTAGATTATCATCATAAACGGGAATTTAGTGGTATAGATTTCAAAAAATTAATTTTACTATATTTATGATTTTTAATTGTAGGTGGCCGACAATATGAAGATGAGGGTAGAAGACGTAATGATGATAATTATCGTCGTGGTGGTGGTAGTGGTAGTGGTAGTGGTGGTGGTGGTCATGATCGAGATCGATATGGTGGTCCATCTCGACGTGATTATGATTCTGGTCGTAAAGGCAAATATAATCATCACAGTCAACCAGAGCGAGGTATCGAATGAAATGGATTTTTTCTTTTGTTTTTTTTCAGTATAATATATATATTTAGATAATGAACGTGGTAATTATCGACCTCGTGATCGTGATGATCGTAATCAAGATACAAATGAATATAATAATCCTGGACGTTCATCAAATACTAACGTTAATACTGAACCACAATCTCGAAATCAACCACGGTACCAATTTTATTAAAACAAAAAACATTTTCTTCATTTTGTTTCTTTTCTTTTTTTTTAATTTTCTAGAGGAACAGCACGACGGACAGTTAAAACTGAAGATGATTCACAAAAAGTAAGTATATAAAATAAATATTTTTACCATTAAATATAATTTAATTCTATAATACAGCTTCAATTATCGAATAAATTTGGTATGCTTGATGATGATGAACTCGATGATGAAAATGATGATGCTAAAAGTCCAACTATTGATGACTAAATATTTAACATTCTAAATTTTCCTTCTTATTTCATTTGCTTATTGTTGATTTGTTGAGAGACAATCAGAAAAAAAGAATCAACATATAAATAGAGAGAGAGAACATTTACCTTCTAATTCTATAAGTTTGGTTTTCTTTATTTTTCATTTCTTTATTCACATGGGTTTTCGGGTGGTTTGTTGGATCTTTATGCCTTTCGTATAATCGTGGATGATGAATTTTTTTTTTCTTTCATTTGTTTTTTTTTGTTTGTTATCGTTATAACCTTTATTATTTCTCTCTCTCTCTCTCTTATTTTTTTCTTTTACAAGGAAAATTTTTTTGTTGTTGTTTGTTTATTGATGATCCATTCATCGTCTTCGTTTTTTTTTTCACCATTATTCAAATAAACAAAGTAAAAGATGATTATATGCTTTGTTACCTTTTGTGTTTTTAGATTATTATATGTATATATATTAATTTTTGGTTCAATGTTATAAATTATGTAAGTATATAGCATAAAAATCAACAAAGTGAAAATATAAATTTTTCATTTCATTGAAGATCGTATTTGGTCAATTTGTCTGTTTATTTTTGTTTAATTTATAATCGCAACGACGAGAGTTTTTTTCTTTATGTTTATATATTTTGTTTAATTTTTGTTTTTTTACGATGTTATTATAATAATCAATTAGATACAAAAAAAAAAAAGAAAAACTAAGAATATAATTTATACAAATGGTTTATATATTTGTTGTTGTTTGAAAGACTTACGTATTTCTTTTGTTATTTATATAATCATTAGTCTTCTGTTGTTGTTCTTATATTGATTTGTCTATATATACACGTATATCTATATCTATATCTATATATTCCTTATTCTGATGATGAGAATCAAATATTTCCATATACGAGGTAAAGTAGATAATTAAACACGTCAGATAAAAAAAACACTGTGTGCGTGTGAGTGTGTGTGTGTTGCTGCTTGATAAAAGACAAATTTGATTTTTTTTTGTTACTGATCAACTGACGATTAAAAAACAAATGGCTTTTTGTTCTAGTATAAGTAAAAATTTTTTTTTTTGTTTTTCTTTTGTATTTTCTAGAGTCCATTCTGTTTTTCCATCAATCTCAATTTGATAACGGCTGATGGAAACAAGAACATCACGTGTACATTCATCTTCATCATCATTGTCACGTTCTCGTTCACCAATATCACGTAGTGAAAAACGTAGTGTTTCAACATCACCAAGACGAGGACCATCAACACCAGTTAAATCTTTAATAGAAAGAAATGATAGTAATGATGAGCATGATTCAAATGATCGTGAACTTTTACCATTAGATGATGATTCTAAAGCAATAGTTGATGAGGTTTCATCACCAATAATGTCAGATAATGATCAAAGTCATCAAAAAAAGCGACCACGTCGTCGACGTCGTCGCCATCATCGTAAGCATTCGAAATCAAATAAACGTTCAGCAACACATTATCATCAACCTTCAGCTAAAAGAAGGTATTTATTAAGTTATTATTTTTTGTCGAACAATAAGATGATAGAAAAAAAGGTTTAACAACAATGTATTTGCAACTTTTTTTCTATAATGTTAAGCGATTAGCTCAAATCCTGATAGGAATTTTAATAGCTAATGACATTAGCAAGGTTTGATGAAGAACATTTGATGACATGGCTTCGAAAAAAACTGAATAGAATAGTTTTCAGATTCCAGAAAGCTTTCTTTTTTTAACGTTACCATTTAAAAGGGAACAATATGAAGAGTCGCCGCATTTGCTATGACTTCTCCTTAAAATATGAGAAGTATCACAAAAACTGACAAAATGATATTCATAAAAACTCAGCTAAAAAGAAGACTTTTGGTTTTTGTAGTACTTTAAATATTTTAAGGAAAAATTATAGAAAATACAACCACTTCTCATTTTGTTCATTTTATAACTATCTAGACTTGATCTAACTGCTTACTATGGTAGAAAAAAAAAATCAAAAATATGTCGTTGTTAAACTTTTTTGTATCACCTTATACATGTGTAAAATTTGTTCTATTTTAAGTAAAAAAGAAACAGTATCAACAGTGCATCGCAATAAATCGAATGATGAAAATTTTATTAGTTCACCGGAAAAAAATACAAGTGACAGTCCACAATCACAATCAGAAAAAGAAATGTCATCATCAGATAAAGAGTCAAATGATGAAGAAGGAATTGTTGAAGGTAAATTTTAATTATTTATTATTATGAATAAGGTACCAAAAATTTGAAATTTAAGCAGAATATTTTTATTGGTGTAATTGAAAAGAGTTTGTCAAGTTACCTGTAAGAATGTTGTTTTTAACATAATCAAACGAGTTTTTTATAGTGAAAACTGGGTTTAAAAAAAAACCGAAAAAGTCCATAAAAGTTGATATACATCAAAAGCGTCAAGTCTGAATTATCATCTGAACTATTGCTTTTTGAAAAATACTCCTTGATTATTGAGAAAAATCGATCTTTTCGATTCGATAGTGAAAAGTTGTAGATATGAGTTTGTTTTCTAAGATTTTAACCATCAAGGTCGAAAGAAAGGAATATCATATTCAGAGTTCACGCAAAAAATAGTATGTTTAACAATAATTTTCGTCAGATTTTGGTCCTTACATCTCTTCAACGTTACTTTCGAATATTCTGATATAAGTTTCACTACGCACTGAAATCTGACGAAAACTATCTCTGAGTATAATATTTTATGGCGCTTTCTGTCATATGAAAAAAAATCGACTTTTTCAATAATCAAACAATATTTCACACAAAGCGCGCATCATTCATTTTCCTTACTCTTTGATAAGTAAAATACGAAAAACGGAAGTTAGCATAAATACTAAAGAGGGAACTGTTTCAAGTGATAAATTATTTCTGATTTTGAACTCCATATATAAGCTATATCCTAGTGAGGTCTAAACAGTTCTCTCATAAGACTTAGCATTCTTGATGTAATTGAATGTTTATAGGTTGTTTTCATATTAGAGCTCGAAAACGAAATGAACCGAAGTACAAGTAATCGTTCTCACTATACAATAAATGTTACTTAGGGTATATTGAATTGATGAGAACTGAAACGAATTTTTATTCTTTATGCTATACAGCATAATAGTTCTTAGCATAGTGGGATTGCTATTTTGTCTTCTTATCACTAGATTCGTTGTTTATTGTGACAATCCGTCAATCGGTCGCAAGCGAATATATATCGTGAACTATTTTTCTTTTTTTTGTCATTGCTATTCAATGTGATGAATAGCCGTCAAGGAATGATCTTACGACACATTGTCTATGCGGCGAATTGTTCGTGACAAAATGTCCTACGATTATTTAACCTGACATCACTTTCATTTAGTCTGTGTTTTGTATGTCGTGTATGTGCACGTTTCTTCATCTATTATATTTTACTTACGTCTGAAAAAAACATTATCAAATTCTTCTACTTCCGAGTTGTCAATCCAAATTTCATTATCGTGAGCTACGTCTGATTCATCTCATTCACACCCAAATCGAATCGAACCCAAACTCACAAACTCCGGTTCGTTTCAGGCTCTATCTCTTATCTTTCTGATCTAAGCTTTACTACAATGATATTATTTGTATATGTCAAAACCAACATTTTTGGTAACTCGACGAGCTTTATTCGACAGAAATGTGATCGGTGTTCTATGTTATCCAACCACACTTGAAAAAAAAAAGAATTTTGCCTAAGTTCCTTGTTGTCGGTACCTTACTAAGAAGATTTTCTATCATATATGTGTATTTATTGTTAATTTTTTCTAGGTGATAGTACACCGAATGAACGTCATAGTCGACATCGCCGTAAAAAACATCGTTCATCATCAAATAATGAAAAAAATAGTCAAAGTCCCCAATCATCATTAGTTGCTATACCTAAAAATAATAAAGGTACACAATTAATAGTTAATTACTTACCAGCATCATTACGTGAATCTGATTTTTATCAATTATTTGCTCGTGTTGCACCAATTAAACTATGTAAATTAATAACTGATCGTTATACAGGTCAATCATATTGTTATGGTTTTATTGAATATCATTCAAAAGAAGATGCAATAAAAGCTATTGAAAAATTTAATGGCTATAGAGTTGAACATAAAAAATTAAAAGTCTCATATGCTCAACCAAAATCAAATAATAATTATGATTTAGATAATGATCAACAGATGAATTCATCATCATCAACGACAACACAAAAAAATCCTAATATATATATAACTGATTTGCCGGATGATTTTGATGAAAAAATGTTAGAACGTCTTTTTTCAAAATATGGTGAAATTGTTCAAACAAAAGTTTTACGTGATCCACGTACAAGAATATCACGTGGTGTTGCATTTGTTCTTATGACATCAACACGTTACGCTGAACGAGCTGTTAAAGCACTTGATGGTTATGTACCATCAGGTTCACATACACCGATATCTGTTAAATATGCTGATCTCAAAAAAACAGCAACAGTTACAGGAACATCATCTGGAAATAATGGTAGCATTAATTCATCATCTCGTTTATCAAGTTCATCATCAATGACACCCACTATTGGACAATATGGATATACACCTGGATTACCACCATTGAGTATGATTGATCCATATTATGCAGCAGCTCTTCATCATCATCATCATCGAGCAGCAATGAACATGTTCGTAAAAGTTTATTTTTTATTGAGAAATACAAGTAGGGTGAAAGTGGATGAAGTGAAAATCCACACCCAAAAGGTTTCATTGTAAAATAATGATATATTCGCAATGAATGAACGAAATTAATAACGTCTCGTCATAATATAGTAATTATTTCCTTACTGCATTTCTGGAGGAGGATGGTAGAGAAATGTGTCCGAAAATTGATAGAATAAAACAATTTCTCTGTGATAAGCAACAGTAACAACATTTTGTTCCATATTTTAATCTTGCAGGAATTTTGCTAACAGTTTTTCTTGAAATCTTTACATGATTTGTTTGAATT